TTCCTGTTTAGGATACGGTTTACCAGTTCCTTTCTTCTATTGTCTTAATGCTTTGTCTTAACTTTTTGGTGACAATGAGTAAGAAGAGCTTCTTTTTAATAGTTTCACACCAAGGAAGGCAATAAAGTCACTAAGATGCAGAGAGTTACTGATTGTAAGAGAATGAGAAAAAGAAAACGTTAAGGAGATAGAACAATAAAGGAACAGGAAGTAAGAAGGCAGAAGATAACAATTCTCATTGCATTTAAATTTTTGAAGAAGCGAAGGCAAAAGTCAGAAAAGAATTGGAGATTGGAAAGTTGAGGGGGAGTAGATCATTTTTTTTGTTTTCTGGTTTACTTGTATTTCTTTTAATTGCTGTGTGTGCAAACAAATAATCACTGGCTTTGTAGTAATAAATTTGGATATTATGTTTACAACTGAATGATGGTGTAAGGTAGAATCCTTCAAAAACCGTGAAAAGAGATAAAACAAGTCTGATGTGTAAAGGTTATGAGATAAATTTTGTTAAGGAGATATCTGGTGTTGATGCTGTGGAAGTCAACTTTTAGGAGTATATGTACGGTTAAAAAAAAAAAAAAAAAAAAATATATTATATATATATATATATATATATATTATATATATAAGACTGTGGATGAAAAATGACTGTGAAAGTAATCACTTATTTAAATAAGAGAAACCTCTTAAAAGAAAGAAAAAATATGTTGGTCAAACTGTAAGCAGACTCATGGATAGAGCTCTGTAAAGAAATTCCATCTTTCCTCTGTCATCCCTAAGTGGATCTGCTTAAATTAATTAGTAACACTGCAAATTGTTAGTTGCTCTTCCCTCCAAATAAGGGTTTAACAGCTGCTTACTGATGAAGCTTATAGATATATTTGAAAGCTCCAATCATAAAAAAATAAAAATAAAAAAAAAAAATAAAAAAAAACAATTGATTTTTCATAAAAAAAGTTATCTTTGATTTTCTTCATGCTTTGTATTATTTGAGGAAGTGGTTAGCAAGAAAATGCAGTTGAACATGGCATAAGGTTTCTTATTTCAATTTGTGTCAGATTGCACAGAAAAGGTAGCAGGCCCAAGCAAAATTCGATTCTCTGGTGACTAGCAATCACTATTTCTAGAATGCTTACATAATTAAATCATACGACCAGAATCCATGTTTTGATTTTATTTGTGTCATGTGTTCTTTAATCTGACAACTGTGACATTCTTTAGTTGTTACTGAATATCAAATGGAATTAAAAAGGTTTCGCCAATGGAAAAAAAAAAAAAATTATCAGACTTCATTAAGTCAATTTCCATTTAAATATATCCTAAAAGGAGTTGGAAGTCAGTTTTGTCTTGAAATATTAACAAATTCTTAAATGAGAGAATTATAATTATCTTAATTGAGATATAAAGTCAAGTAAAGATAGTTTAAACTTAAGGAATTAGCACATATGCTAGGCCACAAAAATCTCCTGAGCCAACCAAGCATAGAAATGAATACAATATGGGAACCATTATTAAGGAGTGCCAGAAAAAAGCGACAATAACAAGGTTGCAATATGAGCTCTGGTAAAAATGGTTGCTGAAGACATTAGGTTTATAATACCCAGAAATTCATACACAGATGTCCTCAGTGGATAAAGGCATTGCTTAGATCCAGTGACAGGACCCAAAGAGTGCTAGTTCAATACCCAGTTCAGGAGATAACTTATATCCATTAAACATGGCACTAGAACCAGTGAGTGAAATAAAGGGTTCAGTTCGACATTCCAACCACCTGAAGAAGCCCGGAGCATACAACGGCCGAAACGTAATAAATATGGTGACAAAGATGAGGACAATAGTCTAAATAATGTAAATAAAGGTTCTCACAAGGAAAACAGTTCCATTCTTTTGTCTGTAAAGAAAGAGGTATCCTTTAATTGGATTTGAATTTGGTTATGGTTCTAAGTCCTTAAAGTTTCAAGGTCAGTGAGCATTTTGCATGTGGTGAGGATACATTCATACAAGAGGTTTTAGTAGCATCCCCCCCCAAAAGAAAAGGTAATAAAACATGAATTCCTTTCGAAGTTGCTTGCACTTATGCCGATTAGAACAAGGGGTAAAAGATACACTTCCCTACACTTACACCTAGTATATAGTCTTTAGCACTACAGTAGTAGGAGTTTAGGTTGTAGAAATGCAGTTACATTTGGTCTCAATCTTTATACAAGGGATGGCTGAAAAGTTCATAGGCTAACTATGAAAGAGTGACAATAGAGCTGTGAAATCTTGCATAAATTAATTTCAGCTCTTAATAACTACATTGTCTCCTTCCATCTAAACTGACATCTGACCATTCAAAGAAAACTTGTAAAATTCAGTAGCAACTCCTCTTGAAAATGAACAAAATTTCGCATCATGGTGTTATCAAGTACCTGCAGAAAAGGGATTAGCGGACATGGCTGTTATATTAAGGGATGATAGTCCAGCTTTATCAAAAGTGCAAAACAGCCGAATTTAGGAGAGGAAAGGACAGTCTTTAACGATGACCCAACTGCAACCAACAAGAAAAGCATTGATCATGTTCACAATCTTCAGACACCTGATCAAAAGTGCATCATAGGAAATCTGACATTTTGAGATAGATCTATCTGGTTTTCTTTAATGTTTCCTAACCCAGGATAAGTGTCGAGTCGTCAGACTGAGACAAAGAAACAAATACCTGAAGGGAAAACACCACTCTTCAAAAACTTCCCAAGGCCAAGGTCATTTCATCTGCAGGGAAGGTGAGGACCTCAGGTTTTCAGGGATGCAGAAGAAATTGTTTATTGACCATCTTGGAAAGGGTCACACCATCAATGGATAATACCATGTTAACTTGCTGAGGAAGTTATGAAAGTTTATCATCAAGACCAAATACTCAGGAAAACTGATGAAAGGGCCTTGTTTTATCAGAGCAATGCGCCAGCACACAAGTCCTTAGTTTCAATGGTTGCTGTGTATGACTGAATGAACTGTTCACCCCTCCCTGTTCTGATTTGGCTCAATGTAGCTATCATCTGCTCCCAACAGGGGCCGGGGGGCGGCTGGAGAAGAAAAAAAGCAAACAAAAAACTTGCCAGTGATGTTGACATCACATCTGCTGTCGATGACTTTTTTTTGACCAACAGGATGAAAGCTTCCAATTGTATCCAAACACTGCAACACTGATGAAAGAAATGCATGGACTACAAGGGGGATTATGTTGAAAAAATAAACCTCATTTGGTCACATTCCAGGCTGGTATCTTTGTCTACCCATGGACTTAACAGCTGACCCTCAGAAGGTTGAAGGAGTCCATGATATAGGCAAAGATGCTTAATTTAAAAAAAAAAAAAAAAAAAAAAAAAAAAAAAAAAAAAAAAGTCATATTTGTAAATAAAATATTTTATTTAATTTAAAGCGTTTCCTGTTTTCAGTTGGAGTGTACATATAAAGAAAATGTGTAAAATACAAATAAATTTTTCAGCTTCTTCTAAAAATAAAAACTTCATTCCTTCGACCAAAGTTCCTCTGAGCTGAACTAATTTGTAAAATTAATTTTAAAAAAGTTCTTTTTGCAATGGGTTAGTGTGAAAGGAGCAATATACATGCTTTTAAACATGTCATTGTTGTCGCTTTCCCCCCCCTAAAACATCCAAAGTTGATGGAGTGTCTGCAGCCACAGGACATACCAGCAAACATAAACACACAATGTGTAGGTACCTGTATATCTATAGATTATACATAGATGAGAGACTAGGTTTTGTATACATCTGCATACAATGAAGAACATGATCTGCTTCATGGAGGCAAATTCTTCCCCCCCTCCCCACCCAGTCTTTTTTGTCGGGCTTGGTACTTTTGTGACTTTACTGGAACCAATTTCTTTAGAGTTCAAGTTATAGAATTCTTCAGGTTTGAAACCACTTGTGGGAGTCACCTAAACATGGACTCAAGAGCTTTTAATTTTTTTTTTATTTTTTTTTCTGTTGGGGTGGGTTTCAAGGGGAGAGGGACTATGGTTTAGTTGTGCATCCAAAACCTATTGTCTGTGTGTTTTTATTTCTTTGAAAGATGGCAAGAAAGAAACAATCACTTTTCCAGTATGTCTCGAAGCAGTAGGCGATGATTGTCTACTTCAATGGAGCAACGTGCTTGACTGCAGAATATTGCATGCGACAACCTGCCCTCTTGAAGTTTTTTTTTTCTTTTTTTCACCTTTTGCCTGCAAGAAAATAAGAAAAACGTAAGTATAAACTTAGCTTAACCATATCAAACAAAATTTTAGAAACTTAAGTGTAGCAATACATTGAGACAAATTTACATAAATGAGGTATGAAAGTTAACATCTGCAATTTGTAAGCTAGTAAGCTATATTTTGCAGTTAAATTGACTAAACTGCATAACAAGTACTTTCAAAGAGATCAAACTTAATTTGTTTGAAGGTTTGTGGTGCTCAATGAAAGTGCAACTCAGTACATGAATTAGCTACGAGATTAGATTATTAACCATTACTTTAGCAGGTACCAATTAAACATGCTTGTACAAGATGTGTGTTTGTTCTAACTATTGATATCTATATTCTATTTACCTTTAATTTACTTCAATAATTTTTTTTTTCTAAGTCTCGATTTGAATAAATTTTAAGTTCTTTAAAATTTTACTGGTGATTTTAAGATATTTTTTTTATACATTAACTGATTGAGGTATTCGTGTATGAATAAATTGTACAATTTATTTAAAAGATTTAGTAAACTCCAAACATGTATTGTCATAGTTAACTTCAGTCTTGGTATTAAAACATTTGACCTTTGTCTTAACTTATAGTTACTGGACTTTAGTCAGGATAACATGCTAACAATCATTTAAGGGGGTAACAAGGATTAAGGTAATTACTATGGTTAAAAGAGGTCAAATAGAAAGAGTTCCATATCAGATATCAATGCAAAAACAACAAAAAAGTGTACTTACAGGTAGTTAATGTGTGATGAGATAAATTACAATCAGCCAGGGAGTTCGATGATTGGTCGATTTGAACTACCATTCATATAGAGATTATAGTATTTTGCTATCATTTTGTCTGGTTGGCTAGTGTTAGACTCGCTTGGACACTGCAAAATAAAAAAGTAAGATTTATGTTAACATAGCTGAGAGGAAAAAAACAAACAAAACAAACAAACAGACAAGCAAATAATTAGTGAATAATAAATAATAGCAAATCTAACTTCAAACAACTTAGATATTTTATCAAGAATTTTGATAAAATCCAAAGAAGGATCTATAACATAATTGATCCTTTCTCACCAACGTGACATAGCTTCCCTGTCTTCTCTACAAATATTTGCATAGCAACTGCTCTGACAAGCTCTACGTGTTACCCTTTTACTATTGAAATAGCTATGAAAAAAAAAAACAAAAAAACAAACAAACATAAAAACTGGACAGTGTGTTAGGTTATGTAAACAAGATTTCCTCAGCTTATCTATGACTTCTGTCACTAATTTTGTCATCTTTGTGAAATTGACAAATAAAGAGAAGGGTCCCACCTTATAGTCACCCTGGTTGCACCACTTATACACATGCGACCAAATCAAATCCACATCAGCATCTGGTGACATGAATTCTTTTAATCTAGTAAATGTAAAGCACCTTTATTTAATCATTGCTGAATACAAGAGATCTTCAGTTATGTTAGACTTGAAGCTCACACCAAGTTAATTACAGGCTGGAGAAATTAAAGACTTAATCACTAGTGTCAACTATTAGTGATTAAAGTGTAAAGTAGCAAGTTATAAACTGTAGGCTATTTTCCACTCCAAAACGTGTGGACGGAATTCCACATGAAAAAAAAAAAATAAATAAATAAAAATAAATTACTGCTCAAGAAATGTTCATTAAATTTGTTCTGGAAAAGTCACCATTTTTTTTTTTTTTTTGTTATATGATACAAGTTTTGCTCACCTGCAGAGCAAGTTCTGTATTCACATAAGATTGTAGAAATATCAGGGATGGGTCCATAGAGCTGTGATTCATTTGGATGTTGTCTCAAAGAGATGTTAAATATAGCTCTCAGCATCTGAGTGTAGGTTCCATTAAGCTTAGACTCAAGGGTTTCAGTTAACATTCAAGCAGTGGAACCATACAATAAAATAAAATCTACAATGGCACATTACAAGTGATCAAATTGCTCTGGATACCTAGCCATAGAACAAGACGAGTTGGTCACCTAGCAACAACATACATTAACCAATTATCTAATAAATCAGGATGCCACCCTAATGATATTCCGACCTTGATGCAGGAAAGTGATGGTTGGGGTGATAGCTAAGCTAGACTAAATAAATATATATGATGCCAGGAAATGTTCAATATATAAACAAATTGAGAAGATATATTGCTTCCAATATAAATATAGATATATTTGAATGTATGAGATTTCAGCTGCTGTGTGTAAAAATAGATTTTTATAGGATTGATGACAATGATACATTCTAATTGATGATAAAGTGGTAGTTTACCCATAAGAGCACTTGCTCTCTCTACACACACAATGTAGATCAGGCATAGTGTTATAACATTGACGCTGCTAAGTAAGATGTTAAGTATTAATGATTCCAGATTAAATATTTTTATTTAATGTTTGAGCCTCTTATAAAAATGAAGATATTTTTAGAACTAAAATCTGAACTTAGATTTTAAATATATATTTTTGTATTTATTTTCTGAAATGCAAACTATAGACTTTCCATATATTTCAGAAAAAGTTGCCAAACAAGAATCTGATGTCATCAGTCCTAACATCCCTGTTTCAGTAACTTTCCCAACACCTGTAACAACCTTCTCTATAAATACTTTATTAAATAATTTTTCTGATGAGTATTCCTCTTTTGTTTGTTTAATGTTTAACGACCTATCAATCTTTATGAGATCATTTAAGGTCAAACAATTCCTCTTTTGTATATAGAGTTCAAGAATTTAAGTGTAGTACTAGATTGGCAGTTTGGTCTCATCATTAAGTAAGTGTAAGTTCTATACTAATGATTTCTTACACTTCCTGTTTATGGAACTCACTCTGGCTTTCCTGCTGACTATAAGCTTCAAAAATTTAAATGCAACATCAATATACCATCTTTTTTTTGCTTTGTACTTTATATTGTCCTTTATCCAGTCATGTTTTTCTTGGTTTCCTTCATACTCAGTAAACCCCTTTCCTATTAGCATCTTTATTGCCTTGATTGGTGTGAAATGATTGTCTACTTGAATCCTAGTTTTTAATGTACTCAATGTTCTCAGTTTTCTTCACACCATCACCCCTTGCATCTTAGTGGCTTTATCACTCTTGCATGAAGTGAAAAAGAAAAAACAAGCTATGATTTGTTTTATAAGTTAAATACAAATGATACATCTCAGCTGCATAGCACTGTCAGATTATTAAAGTGAAGAAGTTAACGTTCTGTTTAGTTTTCAGTCCCAACACCAAGCACTTCTACAAGACCATGAATGAAGATTAGGGAACTTACCTGAACAAGTACACAGCAATAATCTTTGTAATCTTGTTCATTGCCATTGGAATCATCAGCTCTTACGAGACTGGCCAGTTTTTCTGTACTGTCAACTTTCATGAGGCAGATCTCTCGTTCCCAGCAAAATGCCTCAATTAGGGTTTGCTGAATTGCAACTGTGACAGGTTGGTTGGGGTCTACGGGGAGAATGCACATCATGACCACATCTGAATTCCTGTTGATAAAAAGGAGTGAAAATTAAAAAAAACGAAAATAAATCAATCCTACAAAAAGATTGAAATAACTAAAAAATGCATTTAGCTGATAACTTAACGTTGAAACTTAATGAAATATTTGAGATCTGTCACTAAGAAACTTTTTTTTTTTTTTTACTATAACTTTTAAGAAAGTATTTTTTTCTTCTTTATTTTTTTAAATTTCAGGAATTTTTCTCCATATAATTCCAGTTATGTTTAATGAGTGTAAACATTTTATGCAGTTTTTGATAGTGTAAAAAAAAAAAAACTTCTGGTAAGAAGCCAGAAGTGAAACTAAATTTCTTGTAGCAATACTAAAGAAAATATTCCACTCAGCTGACGAGTGGAAAGTCCCAACTTCAAAACGAGGCAATGACCTATATTTGGTTCTCAGTCTTACATATAATCTTTTCTTTGTTTTAAGAACTTACTTAACCAAAGAATGAGTATCTTAAATTTAAAGGTAAACGATTTAAACAAAGAAAAGGAGTTTTTCTTAGTTAAAGAAAAAGGATGTCTTTTTTCGTGCATATGAGCAAATATTTTAAAGACAAACTTACATTTCAAGAAGTTTAGCAGAACTTGCAACTCCACACGTGAGCCTGTCATTGTTCCTCGCGATGATTATCAGATCGCGAAGAGCCTCTCCAATAGCAAGATTATCCCTGAAAATTAAGATAATTGAATTATTAATTATTTTTTAATCTGCAAAAGAGCAAACTGAAGTATAGATAAAAAAAAACAAAACAAAACCAACACAAATTGACTAAGTGACGGACAAAGATCATACACTCCAAGTTTTTATTAGCGATTAAAAAAAAAAAAAAAAAAAAAAAAATGCATGTGACATTCTGTTTTTAACGATGCGAAAATAAATGAATTTAAAACGGTTTTTCTGTGCAATATACGACGACGAAGAGACGCATTTGTTATTAATTATGTTTGTTTGTTTTGAAATTCAACGATAGAATCATCTCTAGCAACACCTCACAAGAAAAAACCTCAGGTCACAAACTGAAGTGAAGTGATTACATCATATTATGAAATCGGGCAATTATCCCAGATTCTTTCCCATCAAATTAAATGAGGTCATTTTCAAAATTGATATCTTAGGGAAACATGCAAAAATAAAATAAAAATCTTTTGCTTGAGAAATATTTATATATGAAAGGACTGTAGGTGGTAATTAAAGCTTAAAGTAGTTTTGTTTTACTTTTACGGTTAATAATGTAATGTAGACAATGCAACGTGTACTGTTCGTAATAAGTGATGGGAGTTAAGGTTACGTAAGCCAAAGGCAATTCATTTATTTTTTTTTATCGATTTTTGTTATTCATAGAAACTAAACTTAGAAGTTGATGCAATCTCTTTCGGTAGAGGAATACTACTACTAATAATAATAATAACAACAATAATAGTGTTAAATTGGAGTACCAGTTGCAGAGAAAAACAGATAAACATTTGGTGTCGAACTGCATGAACTGACTTTCTAAATTATTTTCTAATCAACTGCACACAGTGGGGTTTTTTTTGTAGATTGTCACCTTTAGAAGGTAAGAGAAATGTCCATTTTTTTTTTTTTTGCGCAGCTTCCAATAAATGGAACTAAGAGTTTAAGGAAATCCAGTTTTAGATTAATGTACCACTCTGAATAAAAGAAAACAAAAAACAAACAAAAAACAAACAAAAAAACACTGATCAATTTGGCCAGATTCTTAAATAAAAAGAGCCTAAGTACACAATGGAAAAGTAAAACTTGTAAAAAGCGAATGAATATACGTTTTTTTACACTTTACAGTTACAGGCTTTATTCGAGGAAAAATAAAATAAAATAAGCATTTACCGGAGAAGTAAGGAGAAAAGAAAAAAGAAAACTCTGCGCTTTTCTTCCACATTGTACGTTGTGAAAAACGTAATCAGGTGTACGTTGTTAAGTAGTAGCGACAATAAAAGCATTTATCGCCAGTCACATGGCTCGGCCTGCTTTTTGCCACATGATTTAGGAGAGAAATTCAAATTTATCCGACGATTTTCCATTAGTAACTACGTCTAACAAATTAAAGAAAAACTGAATTTCACAGCCTTGAGTGGTAAATATTGTCTTACGTAACTTGATCACATGGTAAGAACGAAAGATGAACAGTACAATTTCTTTGTTCTTGGCGCAGTAAAGCCGAGAAAACAATAACAAGACAAAAACAAAGGGAACAGCTGATCATATTTTACAGAGAGAACAAAAAAAAAATCAGGGTCTTCCACAAAATTAAAGCCGTGGTAAACCTTTACTAATTTTATTTTTTATTCATTTATTTATTTATTTTTATTATTCACATGCACTTTGACTTGGATATAGAAGTCATAAAGTGACCATGGAGTAATTATAAACGGTGAGGTAAAAAACGAAGTATTCCGTAAAGGATTAAAAAAGAAAGTTTTTTTTTTTTTTTAAAGGAAATATTGAATACGAACATTTTTTTAACTGACGCCAAAAAATAGTTTTCAATTTCCATAATAAATTTTAGCAAATTTTAACCACAACGTCCTCGGCCAAAATCGGACAAAAGCGAAAGTGTAAAATAGATTTTTTACACAGTTTAACTAGCTGAGGGGAAATTAAAAATTTTTAGCAGAAAAAAAAAAAAAAAAAAAAAAAAAAAAAAGTCGGGTTTCCCCACTTGTTTCGAGAAAGAATGTCAGGTCTATAAGAAAATTCAGGATTTTGAAAACTAGTTTACCACCTGGAATATTGGCGTAGCACTCATTCTATTAGTCTTTTTTCTTTTTTTAATTTATTCATAATTCGGAGTATTAAAAGAAATAAAAAGTACATCAGATGTTTTCAAAGAACTCCAGGTCGTTTCTAGGAATCAATGAAACAGTAAAAACCCATCACACTTATCACAGCATGCAGACTACAGATGACCCAGTTTCGTAAGATGGTGCAATATATACAGTATAATAAAAAAAACAAAAAATTTAATCCTTAAAGAATCAGTTTGCTAATGATTGAGCTGATACGCAATTAAAAGCCATCTTAGTGATTCGAATTGCATTTATTTCAATTAGTGTATTTGCCATTTAGGAGGCAGTTTTAAGACTTAGCCAGTTCATAGAAGTAAAGTTTTGTTTAGTGTTTTACTGTTTACAAATTACATAAATAGTGTGCACAATTAATCAGTAAGCAATTACTTAAAGACTTGTTACCAATTAACTAACAGTTACAGTTGAGTATACTATATAAGCGGATTAAGAAAGTAAAAAAAGTACAAAGCAAATAAGTCATTTTTAAGGACAGTGCTTAGAATTTTTTTTCTATAGCAGAATCATTGATGATTTTTACATCTTTTATTCATATTAAAAATTAAAGAGGAAACGAAATTTAAGAAAAAAAAATACATTGTTTTAAAAGTTTTCTGCCGTGCGAGATCTAGAGAGAAAGAGAAAACAAAAGAACAATATATAGGTGTTTTTTCTTAATACAGTCATTTCAACGTTTTCAAAGAAAAGATTAAATATGCACGTGCTTGTGGGGGAAAGGTGAGAATTGGGAACTACTAGCTTTGGTTAAAAATCGAGACCAATATTAAAGAAACAAAAGAACAAAAAGAACAATTTGAATTCCCTTTTTTCAACAATGAGCAAGAAAGCTGAAACCCGAAGGAAGGTCGAGGGAGAAAGATAAATAAATTATAATCGTTTTTAGATTCTTTAGGTGAGAATTGTGGGATGAAGCAAATAGATGAATAAAAAGTAAAAACAAAAAGACAAAGATGGGGGAAAAAATCTATTATAAAGAAAACAAATTCAAACACTAGGTCATACGGTACGATTAGAGAAGCAGTGTGTGTGTGTGTGTGTGTGTGTGAGAGTGAGTGACAGCCGGGTAACAGTTTTTTTATTCGTCCCCTTCTTTTTTCTTTGTGCAGAATTCGCAGATTTAAAAACTGAGACCTATGCAAAACTGCATTTTTTTCTTTTAAGTCTTAGCATCAGACGTTAAAAAAACGAAACAAAAATAAAGACTTAAAAAAAAAAAAAAAAAAAAAAACCGTTTTTTTTGTCCGCTACCAAGATTACCAAATATAGCAATGCTCTGGAAAGGAAAAATTAATGTATGCTCAAAACCTGAACGTGGATAATAGTAACAACAATAGTACCTAACATCAAAAAGATGCACATTATTTAAGTGTGCATTTAATACTGCAACTGACTGAATTATTTTACAAGAATAAGAATGTTTAGCCTTTTTTTTTTAAGGGAGATTTTTATTCTTTCCTTTCTGAGGTGTGATCAATCGCATATTTCTATCAAAAAGGAAAGTGCAACAACGGAAAGAAAAAGAAGAAAAAGAATTAACAGGAGAGTAGTAAAACAGAAAAGGATTTTTTTTTTTTAGAAAATCGTCAATGCTTACATTTTTTCTGGCTGCATTTTCTTCTCAGTCTCTTCTGTAATAACCATATTATGACGAGAAAAAAAGTCCGACTTTTGAGGGTATAGATCCAGGGTTAGCTTTTGCAGAGCTAAGAACTGATGCAAAAATCAAATCCAGTAATTTAAAAATAAATAAGTTGTAATTCAAACGATCAGATCGGTAAAAGGCAGCAGTGTAAATTCACTTGCAAAAATAAGATAGATACCGCAAATATACACTAGAGACCGTTGCCGTCAGTGCGCTAACTTCGAATATCGCTAAAAAATGCAGGCCAACTCATGTGAACCAGATTTTTATACCAAACGACGAGACACACTACGCCGAGCTCGGCTCCTGATTGGTCAATCTGGAAAGCGCCTCATACACCACGTCGAGATCACAAATGTCGTATTTCACCAATATTCGATCACTAAAGAGATGGGCTGATCGATGAACGTGCAGTACAGCATCCGGGATGATGTCATGGGTGCTTCTTTGCTTGCATATTAAATGTGGCATTGCAATTCTCAAAGTTTTGCAGCTTCCAAACAAAGAGGTCATAGCGAAACGCTTCTAAATTCTCCCAACCTCTACTCTTTCGCCCCCGTGATGAGTTTTCCGCCTCGACATTTTTTGCTTATTCTCCCTTCTTCAAGGTGTATGTAAGACAGTTTTTTAGGCTGTGTAAGCATCAATGCGTTTATTTGCGTGTATGCGTGTGATTGAGTGTTTTCACCGTGAGATATAATTTACTCTATGTGTGTGTGTGTGTGTGTGTGTGTGTGTGAGTGTGTGTGAGCTTTTGTTCGTAAGAGACTTTTTAGCAGGTTTTAACACGTTGTTTGGTTGTCTGTGCTTCAACCACCGTCATTCTTTTTAATTCAACTTCCCCGGCGAAAATTTCCAAAATTTTTTCATTACAACGATTTTTTTTTCTTTGTATTTAGGAAATTCCTGCATGCATTTCATTTTTTTAAAGCAATCGTTATTTGCTATCGACTGTGTGTCGAGCATTTTTAAAAAGTAAAAGAAAGATTTTTTCGTTTTTAAACATTTTTACTTTAATTTAAAAAGAAAGTAAAATTATTTTGGAAAATTTAAAAACATTAAGAAACATTTGCAAGAAAAGGATTTTTTTAAAGAATCGTATCTTTTATAGATTTGTGTGATTAGTTCAAGAAGTTTTTTTTTTTACCACAGCGTTTTTGGCCTAAGCATTCTTCGGCTTTCATCTGGTGTGTACAATACAGACCATATGGAAAGATTGTTTTTTCTTATTGCAAATCATAAACTGATAGCAATCAGAAACGTATTTCTGTCTTGCATCACAAAATAATAAATACAAAATAATTAAAAAAAAAAAAAAAAAAAAGGAAAAGAAAAAACAGCGCCTATTTTTTTTGTATTTTTTCGCGCGGTAAGTACAATTAAAGAAGGCCATAGAATGGATCGACCGAAAATATGATTTTGCAAGAAAAAGACTTGGAATGATGATGACTCACCTCAAAGTTGCAGAAGGATGTTTAAAAAAAATTTCTATAAAGTAAACTTTATGATGCAAAAATAGTAGTAGTAGTAGTAGTAGTAGTAGTAGGAAGAAGAAGAAGAAGAAGAAGAAGTGGGGAGGAGGCACTCGGAGTTTACTTAGCAAAAAATGAATAAAAAGTAAATAAACATAATGGTAAAACTTCCTCATTTTTTATTTTGTTACTAAGTTCCATTTTTCTTATCTTTCTTTCATTCGTTCTTTCTTTCTTTTTCCTTTTCTTTCTTTTTTTCTTTCTTTCTTTCTTTCTTTCTTTCTTTCTTTCTTTCTTCAAACAATTCCAAGTCATCAAAATAAAAGAAGAAAACTATAGTACATCAACACTAACAGTCAACACTTTTTACTTTTTATGCACAAAAGACGCTATGTAATCCTTAAAAAATCTTTTTTTTATTTTGCTTATATGCAAGTTTTTTTTTTCAGATACAATGCAGAAAAATAATCTATTTGTTTTAGTTTATTTATTATCTGCAGTACATAGCTATGCACATGTTTCTAATGCTAGTATCGCACGTGCACGTGCATGTTTGTGTGCGTGTGTATGTGTGTGTGTGTGTGCGTGTGTGTAGAGAAAGAGAGGGCGGTGCTGCGTGGTTTGACAAAAAGAAAGTCAACTGCAAAAAGTGTAAAGTTTATAAAAATTCGGACAAGAAAAAATGAAAGAAAGCGTTCTTTCGTTTTATTCTTAAAAACAGAATATTCGTACTTTAAAGTTTAAGCAAAATTCCGAGTAAAAAAAAAAAAAAAAGAAAGAAAGGAAAACCCCGCTTAAATTAATTTCATATTTTGCGCGTGTGTGCATGCGTGTGTGAACGCGTGCGCGCACAAGGCACACACAATAGAAACTCGTTGTACGAAAGTTTCCGGGCTGAACAAACTCCAACTTTTAGTAAGTAGCAGTATTAGTAGTAGTAGTACACAGTTTGCGATGTGCGCCTTGGTACATTGTCGGTAATTTTATTGTTCATACGTATAATTTATCGTCTTTTTTCTCCACTTCAGAAATGTTTTGTTAAATCATTTCTTGCAAGAAAACGAAAACTTCAAAAAATACCGCCTCAATAATAATAATAATAATAATAATAATAATAATGAAAAGAAAAAATAGCAAAAAAATTCAGCACATTTTAGTGTGCCTTGAATAGTTTAATAAAATCACATAGTTGAAGGACAAGGTAAAGTTTAAAAAAAATTAAAACATATAATTAAAATTTTTAATTATTTGTTTTAATTTAATTTTTCAATTTAAAAACAACAGTGATGCAATAATAATTAATAATTAATAATAATAATAACAATAATAATAATAATAATAATAATTATAAAAAGCTTGTAAAATTCGCGTGGAAGCAGACATTTAGCTGCAATCAATTTATGCCTGTTAATTTGTGGGAAATATGATTTCCAAGAACTGCGGTTCAGGAATATAGCTACCGACCAATATTCTGTAATAATTATTTAAAATTTTAGAATAATTCACTGGTAAAAAAAATGAAAAGAAAAAGAATATAAAAACATCGTAACCGTAACCAGCAACCCTAAAAAAAAAAAACCCAAAAAACAAAATTAATCTAAGTAAGTATTACAGAGAAAGCAACAGTTATATGAATGTCTGTCCGTTTTTAAACAATGACAACCCTAACAGACAGACCAATCTATTATAGCAGTACTTTTTAAAAATGAATAAGTGAAGTTTAATTATTATTGTCATACGGTTCTATTTAGTATTTTTAAAATCTGGCAAACAACTCCCTCTCACTGGTAGTACCTATCAATTTCACAAAGAGGAAACAGAGTTAGGGGCATTCCTTGATTTGCGGCAAACCCCATGCAAATGTGACTTTTCGGGAAACAACGATCGTGCGAAAGCACAAGAAGAACAAAGACATTGTGCCATATTTTTTCCTCGTCCCGTGAAGAGGATTGTTTTATAGCTTCTTCTTCTTCTTCTTCTTCTACTTGTTCTTCTTCTTTATTCTTCTTCTTTCTTCTTCTCTAAAGAAAGTTACAAGATTTGGATTGATTTGTTTTTTTACGGCTTTTCAACTCTTTTGTTTTTAGATTGAAGAATTTTTTGTTGAGATTATAATAATTTACTCTTACAAGTCCTACTAAATCCATAGCTGGGGAGAGGAAGGAGAAGAGGTGGATTCAAAGGGTATTTGCGCCTAAGTGAATATAACGAACCCAAATGGAATTGGAACTCGGCTCTCCTATTTTCAATTCCAAGTTATCCATTACGCCACCCGAATAGCCAAGCTTACCGCATCTGGTATTCCCATTTAGGTACTGACCAGATTCGATATTGCTTAACTTCGGTGATCGTTCGAGAATCAGTGTTTCAACGTGATATGTAAACCTAGGCAAGCGACAACAAAAATATATATTTTATTTGGATTTATTTTCTTTTAGAACAGATTAGTGACCTGGTTTGTGACCCTGGTTGTTTGTAATTTAGTCAATCCAGCTTCAAAAGTAAAAGTAAAAATTTAAGAATTTCGTGTACTGATTTTCAAGGTAAGCGGGTTTTAACCATTTGGTGCGGGTGGTGGATAGAAAGGTGGCGAAATACAGTCTTTCTATTCACATTGATCCTCCTTCCGTAAAGCCATTGTATTGTATTTAATATGAAACCGTCAAGTCTCAAGTTTTCTTCCTCATTCTTATTTTGGGCAAAGCATTTCGGAGAAAAAAAAACAAACTTTTAACGAATTCAAAGAACTGAAAAAAAATAATAAACAGGCAACTATAGTAAAACCGAAAAGCATTTTTTGTCTCTGGCAAGGTTATGTTTAAAAAATAATAATAGAAAAAAGAGAAATAAACAGGTAGTGATGATTTAATTAAATAATTAATTTGCATTTTTATTTACTCTCGGACTCAGGTCCGCATATTTGTATGCTGCTGTGCATGCGCCCTTGTTGTAGTGCGCATGCGCACACGCAAACAGGTGCATACGCGTATATTTCATGGATGGCTTCCTAAGATGTTTCAAGAAACGATACAGAATTCATATCCAGATTGAGTTTTTTTTGTTACAGACCCAATTGAGTCGACATGAACAGAGGAATGATGACGGGGTTTCCCCACGTAGATTGAATAAAGAAAGGCTTCAGTTCGAAATTCCTTATAAGGTTATCCAGGTCGATAGACCCCTGAGAAAAAAAAAAAAAAAAAAAACCGGGGGTCACAACGGTAGAAACATTTTGATAGTAACAACAAAGACGTGGACATGGTTTACATGCAAACTATTCTCCTCATCTTTGTTGTTATTGTCACAACGGTCGTCATTAGGCGCATGTCGATTAGGTTAACATTCAGGAATTTCAAAGTGAACCCCTTTTTTTTATTTAATTTACAGGGGTAGATTGTTCTCCATCTGCCTTGTCTGGGTTTATCTAGTTCCTGTTTAGTGCTGTTCGGTTATTGCTCGCCTCATTTCCACTGAGCCAAAGTACAAACTGCCCGTCTTAGGGATTGAACGTTCAATTACTATACCATTTAAATTCACGCTTTAGTCTATTGTCGCGTGGAAACATGATACGCGGTACTAAATAATACAAATACTAAATAAGGTAGGAATCATTTCCGTCCTCCCAACTATGGGTAAATAGCAGGACAGATTCGATTTTATAGCTTTGGGTGGCAACCGGTCTAAGAAAAGGAAAACTCTGAATTCAAAACTGTATGTAGCCCTAGCAAAGCACATACTATGCAGCTAAGGAAAGGATCGTTCGCATTGGCACGATGATCCTGACTATGGTTGACTAAATAATAACTGGGTGAGATATCCCTAAACATGGACAATGCATCGAGAACAACCTATCCCTGTAGATTAAATAAAGATTTTAGACAGGAAAACGGGCCCCAACTCTATTACATCTCAATTTTCATAAGGTGGGATTCATATAAAATACAAATTTTATCGTAGCGTAATTATGTAGAATAATGGGTGATACTAAAGCATATTTTGATTTTCCAAGCGTAGCTTAGATGTGGCACAAGGCCGAAAGTAGGGGCACCCAGTGAGGAACGAACTCACTACTCAGCCGTAATCGTTCTAGCGAGCCAAGCTTGCTAACCATTACACCGCCTCGAGGTGACCATGCTACTATAGCATAGTTACCGAGGCATTTGAAAACTAACCGTAAATCACGATGCACTCATTATTGCTGGAAAATGCCCCGGAAAAAACGATGACCTGTTTAGTTTACTTTTTTTTTTTTTTAAAATGGCATCAATTCCGTTTACAAACATTTAAAAACACTCTTTAATTATTTTTATTTTTTTGTATAAAAAATTGTAAATGATTTTTAATACAGAACCACTGTTTAACCCCTAACCCTAACCCTAACTTCATACTTCCAACAGTTAGTAATTATCATGCCATAGTAGAAAATGAATACTAAATATTAGTAGAAAATGGATGTTGATATCATACTGTAATTATAGTAGCACCCAATAATGAATCATATGCAACATAGGCGAATAATTCAACTATAAAAATTTGAAAAATATAATAAATACAATCGAAAGAAAAATTAGAGACATATCATAATAGATCAGTTCAACTTAAATAAATCAACAATGCTTTGCGGCAATTTTTACACATCATATTTTTCTTGTTAAAATGTTGAATAATTTTAACACATTCAACATTATGGATAAAAAAAAAAGTGATTTTTTTATATAGTGTTTTTTTTTTTTAGACTTTACACGAGCCAAAAATATCACGGATTTGAAGAAAAAAAAACCCAAAACAAAACAAAAACTAAAAAAAGAAGACTCCCTATATACTGATATATACTAACTACGAAAATCTTTTATCCTTTAAATAGTTGTGTATAGTTTAGTTTGGAAAGTAGGTAGAAAAAACAAAAAACAAAAAAAAAAACTAGATGTTAGTAAGAAAGTCACAAAGCATTGCTCGAGGTCTCCAATCAGACATGACTGCCCACAGTCGAAGAATTCGGGAGTAATACACGCGGTCCTAGGGCGCATATATGATCCGAATGAGTTACGGGACTCGTGCGTGTAACTCACTAGAGTTCTCCGTAGAATACAGGGTTACAACCTCATCATGCTAGGAAAGGGTTTTTGTAATCAGTGATAACAAATGAGTAAGTGACGATGAGTAGACCCTCTTCGAGAAAAAAGTCCCATATCAATTGCTCACCCACCTTTCTTCTCACCTATTATTTTCTGATCAGTTCTACAAACAAACAAAATAATCCAAGCTAATTATCTCTTGACTGTCGATTTTAAGCGCTTTCTGGCATAACGATAACCATCAGGTTGTGTGTACTGATTTGGTTACCTGCAACAGGGACTAATTCCTGACCCGACTCAGTGAGCTCGGCTTCGATGATTCCCCTCTCTTAAATCTAGGACCCATTTCTCACCTCCGTTTTTAACTTTTAATTAAAGTTTAAACACACACAAACATTGAGTGGAAACACGACTGCATCAATTTGAAAGGGGATTTCTTTTATTTTATTTTTTTCACATTTTTCAGTGTTTTGCTTTCAAATATACACATTTATTTAAAATGGTTGTTTATTGTTCTATTGATAGAAAAACAAGACACCCCCCCCAAAAAAAAAAGAAAAAAATCAAGCTCACGGACGCATCTATTAATTGAAAAGTCCGCAAATAATGTAGCAAAAATAAAACTGAAAGTTATTTTTTCTGTAAACATTCCGTTATTAATAGCAGTAAGTAAAGCGATGATAGAAACGTCGCGTAGAGATTGGAGCGAACACACGAACACAAAAGATAAACAGCTAGCGTGTGTAGCTGAATAACACAAGGTCATATGCAGGTTCTTTCTTCTTTGATGTGCCGTCTCCCTTCAGGATGTAGGCAATCATAGCCCTCCACATCTTCCTGTACCTTGTAGCTCTTAATAAATTTTGTCTTTATGTTATTTCTCCCAAAAGCTGTTCTACCATCTTTACTCAAGCTTATCAGGTATATTACGCGCTGCTTTCCTCTGTCTCTCTTTCTCTTAATCTGTCCTGTGAGTATCAGGTTTTCCGAACCTTCCTTCCTCATTATTTGCCGCAGAAATTTCAACTGCCTATTACTGGTGTTAAGTATAAGTTTCCGTTTTGTTTCCATTTTCTCCAAATTCTTGCTGCTGCTCATATGTTCGACCCATGGTATCCTCAGCATCCTTCTGTAGAACCACATTTCGGTTGCTTGAAGTCTCTTCTTCGTCTTTGAGGACATTGTCCAACATTCGCTGCCATACAGGACCACTTTAAGGTTCCATGTGATAAATTATTTCACCACAGCCCTTTCAGACTTTACTTCCAAAGGTTCAAATGAAAAATGAAAAAAAAATATCAATATATATATATATATATATATATATATATATATATATATTTTTGAACAATAAGAAAATAAAAATTAAAAATTAAAATCATTAGACACACTGGGTTGTAGATTAATATTCTTTCGTTTTTTTATTATTATTATTCCATTTAGATTCCTCGACTAGTTTCGACCGAAATGGCCATCATCGGGAGGAGAAATATATCTGCTTGCAATGAACTACAGAAATGAATGAATCTATATATATATATATATATATATATATATATATATATATATATATATATATATATATATATATAGGTAACTATACTCGTTTCGAAAACCTTTAAATTTTTGATTTGCCAATAATCAAATCAATCTCGAGGAATAAAAATTTAAAAAAAAAGAAAGAGCTAGAAACATGAAAGTCTGTCGAAAAAAAATCGCACAGATACAGGTTTAAAGCCCAAAGAAAAAAATCCGATACGAGTAAACAACTAACTAACAAAAGAGCTCAATACAACCGTAGAGCAGACCTAGATAAACCTAGTGAGCCAGACAAACCTACCCAGGTTTCATCTAAGCGGATCGTCAGGGAAAGTTGGCTTTCTCTATACATATATTTAAATTCACTTTCATCGGATGTTTGGATTTTATTACAATTTTAATCCTCGCTTTTTAAAGAATAAACATTCCCGTGTCAGTGGAAAAGCCGACTTTTGACACGTCGGTATTTTTTTTTTTTTTTTTTCGGGGATAAACGTCAAAGTTTATCGAAATCAAAAAGAGACAGTTTAAATTTTGGGGTCACATAATGAGGAAACATAATGGGATTGCAATATTTGACACTCAAATAGGACATACTGAGGTCAAGAGGTCAAGAGGGTCAAAGGTAAAAACAGCGAATAACCTACTTGGCGAGTTCTTTGTACATATGGATGGCAGAACAGAGAGTCGGAGGGATAGTAAGAGGAGAAACATTGCTTAGCGTTCAGTTTCCTCGGGCCTTCCCTTTGGGGTGCCTTTAGGAATGATCCTGACCCTCTTTCATTAAGGTGGGGGGAGATATAGCCGTGTCACCGTAATTAGGATGTTTTTTTTTTATTTGATTAAAACTCCCTCGAGACAGGCGATCATGGGCCTCCAGAGCTTCCTTTGTGTTATCTGGGAATTACCATGCATTCTTGGGAAAATGGCACCAAAAACCCCAAAATGACTTAGAATCAGAAAAGAGACAGTTGAAGTTTACTGAGCACATGAGGAAAGAGGGCTTTGAGAATTTGGCACTCACAGGACACACAGAAAACAAATGAGAGAGAAAAGCAGCGAGTAATCTATTTAACGTGCTTGGGAGCTTGGGTAAATGGATTGGGAAGGATAGCAAAAAGGTAAACCTTACTAAGAGCTACAAAAGACAGGAAGTTGTGGAGAGCCATGATCGCCAACGTCTTTAAGGGACGCAGCACACAGAAGTAGTAGACTCTGTGTTGGACTTGATGCTTGTTTTGTGCAAACAGTGTGTGTGTGTGTGTGTAAGAGAGAGAGACAGAAACAGAGAGAGACAGAGACACAGATAGATAGATAGATAGATAGATAGATAGATAGATAGATAGATAGATAGATAGACAGACAGACAGAGGAGGTTTCGGTTGGGGAGGGGGTAAATTCTGTTTTGAAACTCTCAACGTCACAATGATTCAGCACTGAGTCAAGAATAAATCTTTTTTTGGTTGGTGTTTGTTAAATGAAACGAAAGAAGTCGAATTCTCAACTCGACGATGTGAGTGGGAACATGAAATTGAAACATGTGATTCCTTTCATCTACCAACCTTGCTGGGAAGTGATATTTCAATTCAATATTTTGACCTCCACCTAAAGTCATTAACAAAACAAACGCAAAAACGGTATGTCGTAACGATTATATAATTGAATTAGAAGTACAATGACATATATTAAAAAAAAATTAAATTAAAATAAGAAAAATTTAATCAATCTTGCTTTTATTTTATTTTAAAAAAGCATTTTAAAGATATTTTTCTTATTTAATAGATAATTTAATTTATTTTAAAAGCATTTTAGGATATTTAATAATTTATTTCATGTATCAATATCTTTCGATTTGCGTATTTTAAGCGGAAAAGAAAGAAAGAAAGAAAGAAAGAAAGAGAGGAGGAACGAAGCAAAGAAAGAGAGGAGAAAGGAGGAAAGACCATAAGACAAAAAGAAATGAGGAAAGAAAATAAGGAAGAAAGAAAGGACGAAAGATAGAAAAAAGAAAGAAAGAAAGAAATAGAAAATAATTTTAAAATATATAGCGACTTACTAAGCATAGCTTAGATATGGCACAAGGCCGAAAGAAGGGAGTATCCAGTGAGGATAGAAATCACTAGTCAGTCGTAATTAATCTAGTTACTAGTATAAACATAAAAAAGCAAAGATTCTTTTCTTCTTGAATTGACTATGCGTAGCTTCGTTTGGCATAAGGCCAAAGCTGTGGAGCGCCTATTTTATCAAACGCATTATCTTCGTGATGCTGTTCTGCCGCTTTGTTTGTAATCATCATACTCGTGTAGGTTCCCAACTGAGAAAGAAAGAAAGAAAGAAAGAAAGAAAGAAAGAAAGAAAGAAAGAAAGAAAGAAAGAAAAAGAAAAAAATAAAGAAAGAAACAAACAAACAAACAATGCTTTGTACTTAAAATTAGTTTCTTCTGGATCCAAATGTAAGTATTTGAATTCAAGCTAAAAAGCTGGGAATTATTTCATTGAATCGTACGAAGTTAGTAGTTAGATATAAAAAGAAAGAAAAAAGAAAGAAAAAAGAAAGAAAAGAAAAGAAGAAAGGAAGAAAAAGCAAAAAGGAAAGTTGGAAAATTTTAAAAACACATTTAAAAAAATAGGAACTTTTCTGTTAATTCACCCTAAAAGATTCATTCTAATCACCACAAAATAAAAAGACTTTATATTTACTAAAATTAACACCAAATTCTACCAAAGTGATGCCCTTCCATTGCAATCCGGTTGAGTTGACCTTTACGATCGCCCAAATGTGGGCGACTCGGGTGCGCTTTTTCTAAGTGTGGGGTCTACGTTCTCGCTCACCCCGATAAGCAAGCCAAAAACAGACCTTTTTTTTTCTAAATTGAAAAAAATTCTTTGTAAGTACGTCGAATATTATCCCTGATTTTTGATAATTTTTCATTTTGAGAGTTAGAGAGTTGTTGCGAGGCAAGCTAAACCAATTTTGATTCAAATAAAATTTATTATTTCAAAAGAGTGCCAAAAATTTAATAAAAACAAACATCGATTTAAAATTTATAATTTCTTAGGGTGAAATAATATTTGCGATAAGTAACCTTACATTTATTTTGGGTGAATTAAACACAAAAGATCCCCCAAAGATTCTCTTCCACGCTTATACGCCCACAAAATCATTCAAAATCCTTATTAACTGGTTTGTTAAGGATTTTGTTTTTTGTTTGATTGATTTTGTGGGTGCCAGTTGACTAAACGAAAAATCAATGTCATCTTCGAAATTCCCAATAATACCCAAATTATTAAAGATAATATCTCTCCTGTTTTTAAATCAAAGTCTGATACTGAAGAAGTTTGAGGTTATTAAAAAATTGTCTTGGACAAAATCGGGATTCTATAGCTTTTGAAAATTGTTCAAAATAAAAATAAAATGCAATCAACCCTAATTAAAAATTGTCGATTAACACAAAAAGGGACTTTTCACAATTTACAAATACACTACTCAACTGTGTCTCCTAAGAAGACGATACAACTCTAAATTTACCAAGTAGGAAAATTCTGTGTATGCTTTATGCATCATCAACACTTAAAATCGCGACTTTTGACACAAAATCGAAAAATAGATGTTGGTGACAAAGAAGAGCTGGCTGATTGAAAATCATGGTAGAAAAAAATAGATAGATAGATAGATAGATAGATAGATAGATAGATAGATGTTTCGCTTTTCTATCGTGTCGAAAGGAAAGTAATGTTTTTTTGCTTTTACTTGGATGGAATGAATGAAAAAATCAAGTGCAAATGGAAGGAATTGTGAACAGCTGATTGCAATTTGGACGAACACACAGACACAAAGATATAAAGAAAGTTTTATCGTTGAACAAGACGAACACACGAACACATAATATTTTTTTCATCCACGATCATGTTCTGCTTTAACGAAACACACACACACGCACACACACACACACACACACAGAGACACACATACACATACGCTCTATCCTTGATATTGAGCTCTTTAACCCATAAATATAGTATACCTTAAATCTATAATATATATAAATCTATAATATATATATATATATATATATATATATATATATATATATATATATATATATATAAAGAAAAGAACAGTAAGATATATAATCCGGTTTTCGTAGATATTTTTATTTTTACAAAATAATGCTCAATGTAAATTTACAGAGCATTTTGATTTGGATTTCTCTGTATCCTTGGAAACGTGAATTATGATTTTTGTTGTGTCTTTAAAACCCAGTAATTTTAAAAGTTACTCCAAAATTCGCTTGAGGATGAAATGGAACTAATTTCTTTAATTTAATTACAAAATTAAATTCGGAGCTTTCAGCTTCCTTTTTGAAACATGGTTAGAACTGTGTAGCAAAAAAAATATTTTAAATCAATTAATTTATATATATATATATATATATATATATATATATATATATATATATATAAGGAAAAAAAACATTTGTTTTGCATTCAACATCATCACTTGATAAGACATCGGGAGTGTTGAAACAAAATGGCTATTTTTGTAGTGATTTTTATAACATGTTTATGTTATAAATTTTCTAAATAAATAATATATATATATATATATATATATATATATATATATATATATATATATATGCAGAGAGTTGAGTACTGCTGTCATCTCTAGACAGGACCTTCTCAGTCCCCACTTTGTAATCTCGATAGAGTCCCAAATCTTTTCATCTGAAGAAAAGCGATGTTTACGTTGATGTAGCCACGCATGCGCACGAAGGAGAACTAACGTTAAAAATTTTTATTAATATTAAATATCCCATAATTTGATAATAGAAACGTATTATCTTAACGGTACCGACACTTCAGTCAGTTACGTGCCTTGCATGATACAAGCTTAAGCGATCATGTCTTTTTAGATACATGACTGAAGAGGCATATTTTTCCCCGCAGTAGGTTGCCATTTCTTTCTGCGGTAGACCAGTTGCTATCCATGGCTAGAGAAGCCAAACTACCCATAGCTTGGTTAGAAGAGAATTCCCAAAGATATTATTAGCACGGAAATGAATGTAATCGATCCGAGCCGCTAATGCTATAATCTTGTATGTATGTATGTATATGTGTTCCCGGGATACAGCTTAAATACATAATACCCCAACCAATTTAGAAGCATATTGTGCCTTGAACCCCTGTCGCGTGCAGTGCCAAATTTCTTTAAAATTCGACAATGGATTCTTTAGCTAGGGCTGCTTTTCTGTTTTTATGCCATTTATAATAGGAAATTCAGTATTTGTTTTCAATGCAACTTATATAAACAAACACTTTTATAAACACTTTCATATTATAGTCCAACTGTTATGTCTATCAAAAATAATAAACATTAATAATACATTATAAGAACAGTATTAAATAAATTTAAATATCCATAACGAAACATATATTTATACAATTCACTACACTTCGTTAACACTTCTTTTTTTTTTTTTTATAAACAACCAGTGGAAAGTTGAAGAGGTTATATGTGCCATTTGTAATTAGTAAATAAATAAATAGATGCATGTTGGTTTGTCGCTGTTACGTATTTTGAAATAAATGCGAGGAAGAAACAAGTATGTATACTAAAAATATACTTATTATTTTAAAAAAGACTACAGATGTTTTAAGCTATTACTCCAAATTTTGACGCAGTTTGTTAACTATGAAGCCCAGTGGAACAATAAACCTTCTCTTACCGTCAAACTTGATAATATTGTTACTTCATTTTATTTTTGTACCATGGACTGCTTTTAAAACAAACCCAATGAGTCGGTCTACTTATAAAATAAATGCTTCTTAGTTTTTCTTTTATGGGCCGTGTCCGTTTAGGTGTACATCTCTCCATAACTTCCTATACTATCTGATTCCTACTTGCTGTTTCAATCTGCCTTTCTTGTTTTCAGTATGTGTTGTGAGTGTCAAATTCCCCAAGCCTTATTTTAACCGACATTTTATATTATAAAATAGATGCTTCTCAATTATTTTATGTGTCGTGTCCTTTTGGCATATCGGCTCTCCACAGCTTCCTATTCTTTGTAATGTTTGTCCTTTTAATATCCCTTCAGTTCCTGTTATGCTATCTATTTACAAAAACTCTTTCGGCGTCTTACTCGTTCTTCCTCTCTACCCTTTATATGTCTTGTGGGTACTAAATTCTCCAAGACACTCGCCTGAATACAATGGTGTGCTGAAATGTTCGCATCCTGACTAAGAAAGGATTTTTTTTTTTAAATTCTGATCTTTGGTGATATGTTCAGATTTTAAGGAAGTCATAACTTTTTTCTCGTAACTTTAAACACTGACCATGACTCATCTTAGAATTTCAGAACATTCTTCTCCTTTTATATGCCGTATTCTTTCTGAACATGGGCGATCATGGCTCTCCACACCATCCTATCCTCTGTAGCTCTTAATAATGTCTTTTTTTTTTAACTATTCTTCCCACTAACTGTTCTGCCAGCCATCTACATAAGCTCGTTTGGGAGCTTATTCGATGTTTCCTATCTACCCGTTTGCCTTCACTGTGTCTTGTGAGTATCATATTCTCCAAACCCTCTTTCCTCATTAGGTGTTCTAGAAATTTCAATTGTCTCTTTCTAATTCTAATTCTAATGTCCTTTTCGTTTCTATTTTCTTTAAAACTTCCTCGTTGTTCACATGATTCGACTTTGGTATTCTCAATATCCTTCTGTAGAACTGCATCTCCACTGCCTCAAGGATTACGGACGCATCACGTTGAAACACCGATTCTCGTCCGATCAGTGAAGTTGAGCAACGTCGAGTCGGGGTCAGTAGCTAGATGGGTGACCATTTGGGAATACCAGGTGGTGTAAGCTTGGATGTGCGGGTGGTGTAATGGATACTGGCTCGGAATTGTTAATCAGAGAGCCGTGTTCAAATTTCAGTTGGGTTCGTTATATTCACTTACGCGCAAATACCGTTGGAAAAGGCATGAATCCACCTCTTCTCTCTCCAGCTGTGGGTTAATTATTAAGACTTTTATTACTAACACCATTATTATCTACCCCCCCCCCACACACACCAAATTCTTAGAATCTAAAAAAATATTTTCAGGCTTTCCAGTCCCCACATTCCAATCTCGATAGATTCCAAAAGCGTCTCCGCGTCCTTGTGGGCGACAAGTTATTTTCCACTCTACAACTCCTTTCTCACAGACGAAAAGTCACTAGCCTATCATTGCTGTATCGTTATTTCCACGGAAAGTGTTCAGACTAACTGAATTCTTTTGTTCTACCAGTTCTACCCATTACGGTTAAGACCCACCAGGCTAAGCACAGTGCAGCGGACCATCCACATTCGTATTCCACTGGTTAAATGTAAATTTCACTTGAGCAGCCTCTTCGCACGAACCGCTGTTTTACTGAACTTACTCCCGAGATTATGCTCTCCAGACCACTACATTCTTAACCTATTCAGGTCAAGGCTTAACCGTTGTCTTCCCCACATATCCGCCTAAACTGCAGCTTTTATTCTGTAAATGTATATAGCGATTTTACAAATAATATTGCTTACAACACGCAGCAACACGAATTTTCTACTACACCCTATAATATGTTCCATTCATCGTCCCATTTAAATTTTATATGGGCAATATATTGTACATATATATATATATATATATATATATATATATATATATATATATATAGATAATATAAAAGGCTCAAACACTATGTTTCGCTGATCAAACAGTCATGAGAAAAACGGAATTTTGTTAATGTTTTAAATCCGTCTTTTGTGATGACGGAATTTGGTCAGAGAAATCGGCATCAGAAAATTTTTTCCCAAATTGTTATATGTTAACCATTCCATCGGATTCTCATTCAAATTTATATATATATATATATATATATATATATATATATATATAAAAACTGCGTCTAGAGATTATATGCAAAAGAGGCATTGTCAATATTTTTTGTAAAATTCATAGATATGTGTTATCCAATGAAATAATTTGTACTATTATGTATAGCGAGTAAGCATGAAAGCAATTAAGTCACAATTTTCAATTTCAGATTGATATTTAGTATTTTTTCAGTAATTATAGTAATTTGCAGTGTCAAGAGATTATTTGCAAGAACTAAAGTTTAGTATTATGGCTCGTAAAAAAGAACTAACAATGAATGAAAAGAACTATATAATCAAAGAAATTAGCAAAGGAATGTCTTCGCTTCAAATTTCTAAGGATTTGAAAAGGGATCATCGAACAATCAAGAAAATATGTCAAATGGGAATTCAACCAAGGAAAAAAAGTCTCAGGCTGAATTCAGGAATTTAACAAAGCGAGATCTATCACATATCCGAAGAGAATTAATAAGAAACCCAAATATGTCAAGTGCGTTCATATTTGAGGCCACTCCTATGGTGTCAAGGAAACAAGGTGTAAAGCATTAAGGAAGTTTGCTGATGTAAAAATCAAATAAAGAAACCCATTTTAACAAAAAAACATAAGGAAAGAAGATTGCAGTGGGCAAAAATACATGAAAACTGATTTCAGTAAAGTGCTTTTTACAGACGAATCAAGGATCACCCTCGATGGGCCCGATGGATGGGCTCGAGGACGGGTTTACCAAGCAACATGACTCAAGAAAATTTTTTAAACGCCAACAAAGGCGGCGGTGGGATCATGATATGGCCTGGGATTATTGGTAATGAGCTCGTGCGTCCATTTAAACTGAAAAGACGGGGTTAAAATGAATTCTAAAAGTTACTGTGATTTTCTAGAGCAATATCTCTTTGAATGGCTTGATAACCAGTCTTTAGTCAAGCGTAGATCTATGATCTTTATGCAAGACAACGCGCCAAGTCATGCATCAAAGTTTACTAAATCCTGGTTGAAAGAAAAGGGATTTGTTGAAGATTCTCTTATAGACTGGCCTTCAAATAGCTGTGACTTGAATCCTATTGAGAACCTGTAGAGCACCCTCAAGAGAGATATTTATTCTAATGGAAGGCAATTCAACAGCAAGTGTGTCCTCTGGGAGGAAGTTAAAGTTGCTGCAAACAACTTACCAGCCGCTAAAATTGCAAATCTAACATCAGATGTTGACAATAGGCTGCTATGAGTTATTGAAAAGAAAGGAGCATTTGTTCAATAAATTTAAGAAGGTTCTTATTTTTTGTTAATATGTTTTTATTTTTAAAATAAAATGTTTTTTTTATGTTTTTCCTTTAAGAAATTGACGAATTTGTTCTAAAATCTTTTCATATTATTTTTTTTTACATTAGTTTTACAAGGTATAATAATGTAAAAGTATCAAAATAAATAGTTACAAATAAACTACTGACAGTCAAATTAGTCTGTTTTGTTAACTTAGTAAAATTTTTTCCAACCAAAGACAATAGTTTTCTCTATCACTATATATCTAAGTTAATAATATTGAGTAGAATCTAAACAACATAATAGGACTTTTAACATTAAAGACGCCACTCTTTATACCAATTCATAACTAGACGCAGTTTGTATATATAATCTCTAGACGCAGTTTATATATATATATATATATATATGCAGATAATATAAAAGGCTCAAACACTATGTTTCGCCGATCAAACAGTCATGAGAAAAACGGAATTTTGTTAATTTTTTAAATCCGTCTTTCTGATGACGGAATTTGTTCAGAGAAATCGGCATCAGAATTTTTTTTTTTTATATGTTAGCCATTCCGTTGGATTCCATACAAAATTGAAATATATATATATATATATATATATATATATATATATATAAAATACCTTTTCATAAATGTCAACATTTTAAAAAAAAAAAAAGGAAAAAAAAAAAAAAAACACGATCCTTTAACACACACACACACAACAGACACACTCATATTAAGACAGGTTTCATTAAATAATTTAGACAAGTTTTGACATCTCATTTTAATTAGGACACCCCTCGTAATTACGTACAATTTTCTTAGTCTATCCTTATTGAAGGAAGAAAGAAAATTACCATGTTGATGAATATTCATTTTATTCTTTCTTTTTTAATATTTCGTAGCAAAACCGTTATTGCTAATTACATCATGTAGGCATTTAGAGCAGTCACCTACGAATTTTTTGGTTAATATTTTTCCATCCTTCACGACAAAATTCCTTTAGTTCATGCAGATTTTGCAGGATCATTCTTTGAATTCTCAGTTTCAGCTCTTTCCATAAATTTTCAATCGGATTGACATCTGGAGATTGACTTGGCCGTTTTAGAACCTCTCTTCTACAAGGTGGGAATAATTTTTGTACTGAAATAAAAAGCCTTATAATTGATTAATTAGTTTATCTAAAGAAATAAGAATGTTTCCAACATACAAATACAAATCGAAAGAAACATTTTATTCGATATATTGTTTCTCGATTACTGCCTCCCGCCCCCCGGAAACTTCTGCAACTCTTCTCCAAAAAAAATAAAATAATAAAATAAAAAATAAAAATAAAAGGAAAAAAAAAAGAGGACATCTTGTCCCGCTCTTCTCTGATGGTATACATAAGAGAATTAACGTTTGGATGAGAGGTTTCATTAGTAGCATGTCCCAAAACACTCCAAGCAGCATAATCTAGAGGGTTGAGATCTTGGCTGGAAGAGGGCCAGAATTGTGATGGCCAAAAATCGGCAAAATTTGATTTGTAAAAATGTTGCACTTTTTTGGCTGTATGGACAGGATCACCATCCTGAGTCCAAACATAGTTTCTCTTTTGGTAGTTGGCTATGAACCATGATAATACACTGTATATCAGAATCTTTTTATAGGCATCGGCATTAACTTTTTTACAAGGTTTGTAAAATTTGATAGGCATTTTCCTATCGGAGGCCACAACCCAAAAGACCCTAACTTGAATTGGATGCTTCGTTCTGAAAGTGCGCTTGACATGAGATTTTGAGTGTGCAATATATCTGTCATTTTCTGCGATTTTCGTCTGAGAAAATTTTCACAGTAGACTTTTAAGATAAGTAAGAACGTTTTTCCATCTTTCCAATCTTCTTTCATTCATGGGTCGTACCAGCAAATGTCTTCGCGTTCTTGTGTAAGATTTTAGTTTTAAGCCATCTTTCACTGTTGTTCTGATAGTCTTCGCATCCACTTTAAGATCAGTTGCTAATTTTCTCATGGATTTCGTTGTGTCATTTGAGACTTTGGATTTGAGAGTGTTGATGAAATCATTTCTTACAATTTTTGATTCCGCTAATTTCAGGCTTTCTCTAAATAGTTTCTCTCGTAGTCATTTTCTTCTTCACATTAAAAACTGTCCGTAAGGATTATCCAACTATGTTTGAAATCTGTGGATGAACATGTGCGTTTATCATATCACACACCCTTTGAAGTTTGCTTTCCTCAACACTCAGCTTTTACACAATTTTCTGAAAAAAATATGTGTAATTATTATGCAATATTATAATAATGAAATGCAGCAGGTTTCATAAAATTAGTTGAACTGCTTCATGAGAAAAACAAGTAAAAATTTTTAGTGCAAATTTTGCCTCCCCACCCAGTATTTGAACTTAATCATGATTTTGTTAAACTTTGCAGCATGATTAGGATCGTTGTCTTGGTGAAAGACCCAATTTGGTTTCAAGCCCAGCGAATGTGCACTCTGGCGTCATTTTCTCTCCAAAAAAATCCCTTTATATGTTCCATTTATCCTCCCTTCTATTATTTCAATATTCCCTTCACCTTGGTCACTAAAGCAACCCCAGATCATGATTGATCCTCCTCCAAATTTTACTGTTGAGCTAATATTCTTCGGCGAATTTTCTTTCTCTAGACCTTTGCCACAGCATTTCTGTCAAAATGGTTAATTTTCGTTTCGTCTGACCA